TTTCATTTCACGGAGGAGGAGAAGGCGGCGGCGTTGAATTTCATTTTGTTGATGGGTTGTAAGCTCTTCTGGTCACTTAGAATCCCAGATAATCCTTTGTCTAATAAATAGTTGGTGATCGGAGTCAACGAAAGACCAGTGCAAAAACTTACTGTGAATCTTTGATGACCAACCCCATTGAAATGAAAGCCATTGGACCCGTTTCATGTAGCTGAGGCACGCCAGCCGTCACCGCTTGTTTCTCCTCATCGAGCAGCTTTTTCTTCACCTCGTCCTGAGAGGCATCTAGGGACCGGGGTCAGAAATCGCACCGTTAGAAAGATATTAAACTCACAGGCCACTACAGACAAGTAAGGGTTGGTCTTTTTTGGGTCTTTCTCCCAATCGAGTATCATCTGCGTCCACTTATTCTCCAACTCGCCCTTCTCCGTTAGGGATGCGGTAAAATCCTCAAAGATTGTCTGTTGGCGCTTTTGTTCGGGTATCGCGAGGAGGAGGCGGGAGTGCAAAGTACGACCTATGTGATTATGGTGTTAGAACGGTTGAAAAGAAAACTGGAATAACTTACCCAAGGAAACATATTTACGGAAATTGTGATGACCTAAGTGGTCATCCAATGTGTCGTGCCTCGATCCAGGACCCATTTCTTTGGTACTATTGGCCACCCGATTCATTTCAGCCCAGCTCCGCTCGATACCTTCGCCGTCCGTTCGACCAACGCCATGTTTCAGGTTCAATGAATGCGGTGCCTGGCAGGGGACCTTGTGCATGGGACAGTGACATTTTGGGATACCCCAACCAATTTCCACGGATGGCGGTAGATGTAGGTCAATAGGCAGTTTCGGCATTCGGGATGAAAATTTGAGCTTGAACTGGCAGGCAATGTCGTACGAGACGAAGACGGCGGCGACGAGGAGTGGCGCTAACACTGAAAGCAAGATAAAGTCCATATTGCAGTATCTAGAGCGGCGCCAGCTTCTGCAAAATCCTGTTATTGTATATGGCTTACCGTTCCCCTTTTTGAAGGTCCCCAACTCCGCCAGCGTGAACAATTTCATGTCGTGCACAGACACACATTCCCACACCCGTAGAACGCAAGCCAGTTGAGAATTGAGTCTCAGCGTTGGCAAGGGTTTTGAAGCCGCTACAGGTACTAATCTTCTTGCTAGATTAGCGCGTGAATCAAACTCTGAAGGAGGAACTCCCACTTACATCTTTCTGTGTCGCATATTTTAGGATGTGTCTTTGATAGGGTGCATCTTCAGGGAAGTACGCGAAACCGGTGTGAAGACCAGGGTCCCTCTTCAGGCTTGAACGCATGAGATTCTTGAGCCGAAAATTGGCGTCCATGGCGACAATCAGGACGTACAGGAACCTATACAGATGATTAGCGATAGTGCCTGGATAGTGACAGCCTTGACAAAACGACATACTTCCATTCCAGGCCAACGTCTCGCCAGTTTTCGGGGAGATTAACGCCAGGAATAGGACATGCAGGGCAGATCGTTGCGAGGTCGCCTCGGCCAGTCGATACCAGACCCTCCTTGATATTCCCTCGGCCATGTCGCTTCATCAACTTCAGATGGCGAAATTCGCGAATCATTCGCATGAGAGACTTGTAACAAGTCTGAAAGGAAATGATGTTCATAACCTTCCACAAGAACATGTGACAATATCCTACTCACCTTAGGGATGGCCAGCTCCGTATTGTCTGTCAAGAATTCGAGAGATTTGTAAAATTCATGCGCAGAGAGCTTTCCAGTCAGGGTGACGACGTGGAACAGTTCGAGGAGTCGAAACGTCGCGCACGTTTGCGGGTGGTGGACTGTTGCTGGAAACCATTCACTTTGGATGAGTTGTTGCCGGTTCGAAACTTTCCGTTGATCGCAACCACAGAAATCTACCGCGACGTAATGTAGACCGTTGGTGTGAAGCACGGTGAAATCTTTGTGGCCTGGTTGGGGACTGACGCAAATTGAGTTGGTGTGGCCAACCTGAACACGAAGGCCGATGGCCTTCAACAAACTTTTCTCAAAATGGGTCCCATTCCACTTCTATGCGTAGATCAGCAAAGCGCAAGTGACAACAGGTAAGTGCACACCTTAATAACATGGAGGGGGAGATGTTTGTGATGGTGGACGCAGCAGCTCGAACACTCTAAGAGCTGGCCCATACAGTCCTCGCACTGGTAGATCCCCGGATTCGCAGATGCGCAAGACATACATGTCACCTGCGGGCCGACGTCGCCTCGCCCTTCTAGCCTCAACATCTCCAGCAGGTACTCCTCCCGATAACCAGGATGTGACTTGCCTTCCCCTGCCCATTCACGGAGCGGAGCATCCTATAAGTTGTCAGCAGAGCGTAATCGAGTGCCATGGATCACGCTCACCGAAGTGGGATAGCGTTTTGCAGCAACCTTCGCCGCTACAGGTAATTCCTCCGCTTGCCCCTCAACCTCTTCCTCAGCTTCATCTCCTAGCGGAAGGTCGATCGTGTCGTAATCTTGACTCGCGTTCCATTCGTAAACAGGTGAAGGAAAGCGATTAGAAGCCACTGCCCCTTTTTTCGGCGAACGAGCGGTCTGGATTATATTTCGACCGTGGTTTGAGAGATGCACTGTGCGAGATTGAGGGATGGCTATGTCGTCGTCGCTGTCGTCCTTTCGCACAACGACAAAACCTTTCTTGGTCTTGGCCATCAAGGTGAGAAAAACTTGGCGATCAACAAAGGCCGTGAAGCTGATCAGATTCAAAGAGTTACAAACTCTCTAAGGCCTAGGCCTACAGACACGGTACAAATAATTCGACTATAGTACGTGCGAGTAGTAGATATTCCTGAAATGTATGATACGACGTCTAAGACGCGCAGAGTTCGATTGACTCATGACGAGTCAAAGAGCCTTCCCCGTGTTTCATCGCTGCGAGCTTAGCCATGGAATCTGCAGCAATTGCTTCGAGCTTCTTGAATCCCTCGCAATCTGCGGGATCCCAAGGGGTCGGGAGATCCCCCACAATTTCCTGAATAGCAAGGTTCAACTCCTTCTCCCAATCCGCTTGCTTGGCCCCAGAACGATCACCCTTCGCTGTGACACGGAAAGCGAGCCACCTCATCTTCGTTTTGAGCCACTAGAAGGCCATCGTCAAAAGTTCGTGAGGAAGGATTTTGCTGTAGATGCTTACCTTAAGACGTTGGTCACGAATATGTGTCGCGTATGCGGTATCGTCGAGAAATGGCTTGTGCACATGGACTGCATCCTCAGCATCAGGGAAGCGTAGGAACCATATGAGCGATGCACGGTCAAAATAAGCCTTGGTTTGACTTTGCACGATGGCAAGGCGGTAGCTGGGAAGAAGTCTCTTCAGGGTCTTGTCCTGATTGCATTTCATGAGGCGCTTGGCTGCTTCCGGCTCAGGGTCGGGCTAGATAGTAACACGATCGATCATACTCGGATCATTAAAATAACGGAACATACCTTTTTATATCGGTTGGCGCGGCGTTCAGATCTTTCAGCGGTATCATCGACGATGATAGGAGTGAAGACTTTTTTTTTGAGAGAGATCTTGCCCATGGTGAGAGTTTGTACTTAGGACTGTTTGCTTTCCTGTCGTCCTGCGCACCCAATTGACAGAACTTTAATTGGTGGCTTGATGGACTATATAGCAGATTCTATGGCCAAATCGCGTGGATTGTTCCACCGCACAAGCATGCGCAAAAATAAAGCAGACTGGAGTGCACTAAGTGAAATTAGATAGAAATGGCGCGCCGTAGTGGATTATATACAACTAGATAGAGATATTGTCACCCTCGGCACAGATCTGGTAGGCAAAGATCCCACTCTTCTGCCAATCCTCCATCTCGTTAGGACAGGACATGGCATGGGCATGGACGTCCTCTATGAGGCTAAGGACGAGCCGGATGTCCTTGCCTATATGATCCGCCTCTCGATACACAGCCCCGCACCCATGCTCCTGAAGGATAACTCCCAAAGCCTCGTGCACTTCCAACACAAGGTCTGTCCACCAATCCTCCCTGGACTCACAGATGCTCACAGCCTTATCTGGGCTTTCGATGCAACGCGCCACGAGCCTGTCAACGTAGGAATACATTTGACCATCGGTCGCTTTGTTGAAACGTTCACGAGCTCCGGCGATTACAGCGAGCGCATCAGCACTATTCCGTGAACGATACATCATTATGGGCGTCTGCTTATCAAACGTAGGTGTACCTTGGATCTCGGTGGCCCTCAGCGGTGTGGGATTTATCGGTTGACCCCTTTGATTGTCTTTTTTTGGCGGGCTGACCCTTTTTCTTGTATCGACTATGCGCGTGAGTACAAATGAGGACTTGGTTCCTGTTCGCCCGTCAATGCTTAGTGAGTGCAGATGTGAATACAGAAATGCGAATTTACTTTTGATAATACTTTTTTGACTTAATGCGGCGAGCAGCGGCCTTCTCCTCCCGTGTGTGGTAAAGGCGTTGACGAGCCATGTTGGTTGGTGTAGGGAGGCCAGAGAGGTGTGAAGTTAAACGTATTTACTTGTTTAAACAAGTTCAAACAGATCTAATTCTTACGACTTTTTCCCTCTGGTGTCGGTGAATCAACAGCTTTAGAAAAACTAATTTGAGATTCAGAAAGGTATGCGAAATCTGATTTGAACAAGGTCAATATCAAATTTTGTGATTTTGTGATTACGGAGGCCATAGTGCAATGGGTGTTGAAAGTGGCTTAGACGTGCGAGTTGGAAGGTCGCCTCTTGCTCGATCTTATGACTTTTTGAAAACAAGCATTCAGCTCAAAAACGCTTCATTGTAGAGTGTGTTCAGATCCAAAGAGTGGCCCTTTTCAAGGAATAAGGAAACGGGAGGATGTTGAGAGCTCTAGAGTGTATTTTATGTTGAGTTTTTGAGCACGGAGACCGTTGTCTATTTTTAGACACCATCTTGTGGACTCTTGCGACACTGCATTCGCTAACTCCCATTTGTCTACCTATCATAAGTTTTGGACATTCAAGTTCGTGGCCTTCAAATTGGGGACAGGATCAAAAAATATATTCAGTGCTAGATATTGGTACAGATTGGGATGATGGGCCACAGGAGATCAAGAAAGACGGCGCTACAGTAATTTACACGAGGTACAATGCAAAAGATGAGGCACGAGCCATGGCCATCCGAGCGTGCCCCTCGGCAATGGAGGAAACACGCGAATAGACAGCGTGACTGACACCAGTAACCAGCGGCGAGACATTTTCCCTGATAAATGTGTATTAGCTGTTGAACGAAGAATACATGAAAAAAATTACAAACCATCCACTGAACACGCCAATGTTGCGGCCTCGAGTAACGACATAGAAAGGTGGATAATCATTGGGCCCAGGAACATGGTAACCATGGACGGTGACCAGGTGGGGAGGCGGCAAGATAGCGTTAGATGGTGCGTTGAGTGGGAGTTGAGTGTACGGTGGAGCTGCAGGGCCAACAGGTGCTGCCGAAGCAGCAGGAGCGACTACCGCCACTGCGACGGAAGCTGTGGTGGTGGTGGCGGCGCTGTTGGCAGCAAGGGGGGCAGTCACAGCCGCAATGGATGCAGCTGGGGTAAGAACAGGTGCTGCTGCAGGAGAAGTGGGAACAGCGATGGAAGGCGCTGTTGCAATGACGATGGGAGAGGCAGCTTGCACAGAAACAGAGGCCGCAGCAGAAGGGGCCACCACAACAACAGGCGCTGGCGTTTCAGCAACGGCGGTGGTGCAAGCGATGGCGGCAGAGGGTGCAGAGCCGGCATTTGCGACAGATGGCTGAGTCGCTGCCGTTGGGAGAGCACAAGTGGGACATTGAAGCGGCGAAGGAGAGGGATCGTCGCCCTTGTCCTCGTCGTCGAAATCCTGGAGGTCCTCGTCACCAGTGGAATATCCACCAAATCCGAGCATCTCATAGCTGGTGAGATTGGCACCGGTGGTGTGGTCAGAAGTTGCCGAGAGGAAGGAAGGCGGCGACGTGGAGGGGCTGGAAGTTGGGGTCACAGGAATGGTGCGGTGGAGAATGGTCACGAAGGCGCGCACGAGCTGCTGAGCATCAGAACGGGTCAACCTCAACGACTCAAGCGCATTTTCGATGTCTGAATTTTGAAACGGGGCATCAGAGGTCGTATAAGAAGGAACGAGGAGGCGACACTTACCAGCCATCGCGGAGGATGAAGTGGCTGGTTGCACTTCACGATCGGTGGTGTCCGTCATTGAAAAGGAGCTTTGGCAGGAAGGGTAGCAAACGTAAAGGGCGGTTGGCAGTTGGGAAGAGAGCGTGAATCCGTCTGCGACTCTGCGAGGCGGTTTTTAAAGAAGATTCAAGGGGCTTCTGAAGGCATTCCCACAGTGAAAAAAAAAGGCTTTTAGAGTGAGAGTACGTACCAATCCGCTTCTGCATCCCCTCCTTCCCCACCTCCCTACCTAAAAGCTAAATGAGTGATAGCCCTGTCGATCCTGGTGGTGTGTAAGTGCAATGTCGAGCTTGTCTTTGTTTTTTGTTGGGACTGATGTTATTTCCGGAATATCCAGGGTTGACCCACAGCCACTGCTCCGTCCACTTCTGCGTAACTGGGCGAAAGGCCAGCGTCTCGCCTTTCTTGAGGGGTTCATCTCCGACTACAAGGAGGGGATGCTTACGAAAAAATCCTCTTCCGTTCTCGACGCGATAATCAATCAATGGTTCACCCGCTTTCATTGGTCTACACCCCTTTCTGCCGATGACACAGCCACGCCAACGGTCTTCCTTCTTGATAGCCAGGGCCATGAGATTTTAGGTTCGGCTGACTCAGTTCTCAAGGGCCGAGTGATTGAGCGGGCACGTACAGTATGTGAACTTTCATTGTTGTCTGAAATGCGGCATGCTAAAGTTTTCATATAACAGTCACTATACCACTGGTATGAATACCGGTGCAAACGGACGATCTTGCACCCTCGTCCATCCAAGGGGAAGAAAGATAACATCACCCTCGTCCATCCAAGGGGAAGAAAGATAACATCACCCTCCTCGTGGAGAAGTTTCTTGGCCGTAGCACTTCATCGACTAGGCGTAGCGCAGGCTGGGAAGTATGGGGAAAGGAACATTTTCCATCGATGAAGGCGGACTTCGAGGCCGAATTCGCTGCCAGTGGTAGAGACAAATCGGCGCGTGCGAGCGCTCGAAACGACTTCAAGCTAGCGCGATGGAGGGAGCTTGATGACGATACGCAGGAACATTGGATCGCGATTGCGAAAACAAACCACGCCACGAATCAAAAAGCCACGCAGGATCGGATACAGCATTCAGGGCAATTGGACCCAGCCGATGCTCAAGAGTAAGCGTCACCTTTCCCGGACTCAACACAATCTGATCCTTCAACCTATAGAGTTCTGGACGAACTCCCAAATTTTTTGGGACCGTTCATCAATGTCATCGGCGAGGCGATTGGTATGCACATCACAGTCCTCGTTGGCGGTCCCGAACCAAGAAAGAAAGGGCAGTTGAATATGTTTGGGTACGTTTAATTTTTTTTTACATTTGCGGCGTGCTGATACATATTCAGTATCCACTACGGCGAAAACAAAGCCGCTGTCCCAAAAGTGTGGGCATTGGCAGAGAAAGAAAAGTTTAACGTGGTCTCGGAGGCGTTCCTTGCTTACCTGTCGACCTGTTACAGTACGTGTTCTCTTCTTCTCTAACTGTCCATTACTAATTGCACATGCACCTTTTTATTACTTAGCTGTCGACGAGCAGCGCGCGCGTGCATTACCCCAATCGGGCTCGGACTCTACCGCTATACATGCTGGCCCATCCTCCTCAACGCCTCTACCAGGCACCAACTCTACCGCTATGCATAGCGGCCCATCCTCCTTGACCACTCCACCAGGCCCCTCCACCGAAAATTCAACCACGCTCTCTAATTCCTCGGGTTTAGCGGATGGTGGACGTAAGCGGAAGAGAAGCAATGAAACGAAGGTGAAGAAGGCTCAAAAGAGTCGGCACAAAACCAAGAAGGGCAGCGCAAAGAAGAAGCCAAATAAACGTCGCAAAGCGACAGTCTGCTCGGATGCCGAGGCGTCAGCAACCGATTCTTTTTTGGAGGGTTCAGATTCGGGGGCGGGAACTCAACCTGAGGACTCAGCAGAGGACAGCGACCACGGGGATGAGGACGACGACGAGGTCTTTACCTTCCCCGGTATAATCCATATGGAATCCATATGGAATCCATGGAATCCATCTCAAATTCCATATGGAATCCATGGAATTGATGCTGGCTGAGACCCCAGCCAATTTCTGATTCCATAGACAACATGGATTCCATATGGAATGATGATGGAATGGTCATGGAATGATCAATTCCATATGGATTCCAACACCATTCCACTTGGATTCCACTGGACTCCATATGGAATGCAGGTATATCCACCTTGGATTCCATGGAGGAGGTCCATATGGATTCCATGGAACAAGTTCATGGATTCCATGGAACATATCCATGTGGATTCCATGGAACAAATCCATATGGAATTAATGTTACCATTAGAATACATATAAACAGTACTAGAAATTATTGAATAGAATTCTAGTAGCATTTATAGTGTCCTTACTATATATAGGTAAGGAAATAAAAGTTGCATTTTCGAAGAATTGAACCCTCGACCACAGGGATCTAAGCAGCGCTCTAACTAACTGAGCTATTAAGGCTTTTGTATATGGTAAATATAAGCGAAATATATCACACTCTAGGCACGTGGCCTCCCAAACGTGACACAAATGTTGCCACGTCGTTCCTTCTTCCTTCCCACCACCACCATCACCACACAACCCATCCACCACGACATCCGCCCATCGAATCCATGCCACCCCGTACCCGTGCCGACGACAAGGCTTCGCGCAGCGGCCACATCCGTGCCCACACGCCCGTCCGCAAGCGAGGACCGTCGAACGCAGGCGACCAGGCGAGCAAGCGCCAGAAGAAACACCAATCGGAACCCGACGACACCGTTGCAGAGCCCGAACTGACACAGGAGGTGATGAGGGGAACGAAGACTGGGAAGAAAAAAGGAGGGAAGGCCAAGGGGGCTAAAAAAGCGAGGTACGCACGCCATCCACGTCCATCGGGTGCCATCGATAACGCCGATTGCGTCCGATTACAGGAAAACCAGCGCCGACAAAGCTGCAGAGGATGCCAGTCAGGCTCCTCCCACCAAACTCACCCCGTAAGCCCTTCCTCACCTGTTTTTTCATTAAAATCTGTCTACTAACAATTTTTATACTCATTTTTAGGGCTGAGCGAAAGCTCGTCGCCAGCGGCATGGCCGTTGCACCTCCGCAACGCATCCGCGACGCCAATGCCTCCCACATGCCGCCCCCTCCTACACTCGTTAGCACACGGAAGCGTCGTCATGATGACGATGCTCCCGTGAAGGAGCCTCGCGTGGACCACGATAGCGAGAGCTCCGAAACGAGCAGCGAGGACGGCAGCCGCGCCAACGACACCAGTTCCAGCGAGGACGACAGCACCGGTGGCACCGCATCCAAACCAGCCAGGAACAACCAAGACAACGAGGGGGACGACAACGGGGACGACGATAACGAAGACGGGGACGCCAACGAAGATGGGGACAACAACGAAGACGGGGACAACAACGACGATGGGGAAGACAACAACAACGGGGACAACGGGGACGACAACAACAACGGGGAAGACAACAACAACGGGGAAGACAACAACAACGACAACGGGGACGACGACGACGACGATGGGGAGGACGACGACGACGATGGGGAGGACGACGACGACGATGGGGAGGACGCCAACGACGACGGGGAGGATGCCAACGACGACGGGGAGGACGACGACGACACCCACGTCCACGCCAACGACGACGGGGAGGATGCCAACGACGACGCCCACGTCACCCACATCCACGCCAACGACGACGCCAACGCCAACGACGACGCCAACGCCAACGACGACGCCAACGTTAACGACAACGCCCACGTCACCCACGTCCACGCCAACGACGACGCCCATGCCCACGCCAACGCCAACGCCAGCAACACCAACGCCAACGCCAGTGCCAGTGCCAACGCCTCCAGCGCCAACGCCTCCAACGCTAACACCACCGCCAATCCCAACATCGTGAATGAAGGTTCCTACATGGCCCCCAAGCCCGCAGCTGCCTCTAAGCATGTCCGAGGCAGTGAATATCTCACCACTGACCTCGGAATGTTGGAAATCAGCCCAGGTACCTACGTTTTGTTACCTTTGTATTTTATTTTATATATCTTTGTATTAGTTACTCCACTTCGGCTTGGCCACCTTCCTGATCAGCAGGGTAAATAAATTCTTGACTTTTGCATTTTGAACCTTCTGACTTTGCTATAGATATTGACATGGATGTAGAAGGGAGCCCACCAGCACTTGGGTCTTCACGCACCACTGGGGGTTTCTTGCGTGGCAGGGCATTGGGAAATGCTTTAAACCATGCTGATTTTCCAAAAGTTGGCTCTGGCAATGTTTTTTTCACAGGGAGTGCTCTAGTTGACTACAAAGTTTTCGCCTATCTGGTCTATAATGACCCAGTCAAATTTAATGTCATTCCAGACCCTTCTCTTCTGGCTAACAGCATCTTTCGTATCTCCACTGTTCCACCTCTGGAGTCAGTGCTTGTTTTAAAGAAGGTTGCTAATCGGCTTGATACTGCCACGGGTGTGTAAAACAAAATATTTAACTTTTTTAATTCATTAACCTTCTTTTTTGAAAGGTGCTCATGTTTTTGCTCAGTCAAATCTGTCTGGTTCTTGGCAGTGGAACTTATTGGGACAGTATGAGTATGCTTTAATGGCTAATGAAATACTTGAAGTGAATGAAAATAACGAGTGTCATGTTCTATTTGTAAGTTTTACTATTAGTGTTTATTGTTCTCCCCTTCTTATTTTACTTTTAAAGTGCCTTCGAAACAGCTCTTCATTTTCTCCAGGGTCATCTTACCCTCCTTCTACTCACATTTCTGGTTCTATGTCTCGTTATGCTTTGTCTGAATCTCGTTCTGGGTCTATGTCTCATTCTCGTCCTGATACTTCTTATTCTCGTCCTGGTACCCCCATGGATATTTCTGTACCATCTGGGGTACCCTCTGGCTCTAAACGTACTATTGATGAGAACTTGCTGCGTAGACTCAAGGCAGCTGGCCTGACGATTAATGTTCCTCTTTGCTATGATACAAACCCTACCCTTCAGGTTATGTACCAACGCTACACCCACATCCATGAGATTCTGGCAATAGTGGCTGACATGGTTGCTGAGCGCAAATGGCCAGGAGAGGTTGGGAAGTATCCCAATAAAACTGAGATCATTGGGCTTTTTGTGGCGAAAACGACTTGGCATGATTCCTATGCCAAAATCTTTCCAGTTGTAGAGGGATATGAGGACATGCTGGCCTGGTTGGAGGGTGAATCTGATTGCAAATCAGATCTTGAACTTTGGGGATTTGTGAAATCTAAGTACACTCTTGCAGACTTGGGAGAATGGCTCAAGAAGCAGAAAGGCAAGAAAGCAGTTAAGCTTGCAACCAAATCTGCTGCCAAATCTGGAAAGGGCACAAAGGAGAAGGAAAAGGAAAAGAGGCAAGGTTCGGGGTCAGGGTCTGGAAAGGGAAATGAAAAAGAAGTTAAGCAGAAAGAAACAGTTTCAAAGGAGGTGGATAATAAGAAGAAGAGTCACAAGAAGAAAAAGGTTGCTGCTAGTGGGTAGGTAGATTTTGGACTTGCTTAATTTTTTTTTTGGATTTATAGTCAGTGTGTTTACAAGTGTTCTGTTTTTTTTTTTCCTTTAGTCATCAGTTACTCCAGGTGCTTCCAGCTCAATGTGTAACCTTTGCAATCTGGCAATTGTTTATGATTCTACAAATGCTGACTTTGGCAATCTGGCAATTGTTTATGACTCCACAATTGCTTGGTCCCTTTATGATTCTGATGTTTTTGTGCCCTGGTGCCAATGCTATGCAAAATGAACAGGCATTTCCAGATATTCCATTCAAAGTGTTTAATGCTTTTATTGCACAAAATTTCAGCTCGAAAATTACACTAGCAACTGTGTTGATGCTGTTCTTTACAATAACTGAAAATACAGATTTATTGAATCTGCATCAACGCCAGCAAAATCCCCAACTTTCGGATGAAAAACGGGTGAATTTGAGCTCATGGATAAGATCACTGGCTCGTCAAGTTGAAAGGAAGACCCCAAAGCCAAAATTCAAAACTTTGTTTAAACAGTCAGAGAATCTGACGTTAATTCCTGAAAGTCAAGTTATAACCAGGGTTGGAACAAAGCTTAATGACTTTGCTGAATTATTGGGTCTCAATTCCTTTGGGAGTGATGGAAGGCTAATACAAAGACTCCAGCCAATTTCAAAAAAAGAAATTCAGCCAATCATGATAATTTGCCCACCATCAAATGCTTGTTCTGATAATAAATGTCGAGGACGTGCTATTTTGCAACAATCTGATGTTCAAGAACTTGCCATGACAACTCTGGTTAAAGGTTCTGAAATCTTTAAAGATGTTGCCATTCTGAGTGGAAAATGTTCTAATTGCAAAACTCACTATTTTGCTGATCATGAAAACTATCCTCAAGTTGGAGGTCCTTGGAAGTGGGTATACCTTAATGATGCAAAATATTTGAAACTTGGAAAATCTCTATATGTTGACCAGTGTTTTTCAAATGCTGTTGTTAACGGAACATACAGCTTTCATGCATCAGTTTCTGCTTATGCTGAATTTTGGACCAACAGCTATGGAAAGCAAGAGTCACTCAAAATTGAAAGGCGTCAAATCTGGCAGGCATTTCTTCATGAAACTGTTCATACCATTGCTCAAGCATCAGGAGTCATGTTCGAAACAAATGATAATCCATCAATTGATGATTTCACTCATGATGCATTTGCTATTCTGGGTGAAGGTGGTGCTATGAGGCTTTCTGATAAACACACCTGCTCTGAGTGTACTCAAGAATGCAAGGCAGTTGCAGATTTTCTACCTGCTCCCAATGATGCAGCAGCTGTCCTTGGTGTTGAAGAGAATCAAGATGGTACAAGACCAGACTATATATGCATTGATAAGGCATGTCTGGTTCTTAGAACAAGCATTCAAAATGGAAGCTGGGAGGAATGGTGCAAGACTAGCCGACTTATAGTTGACGCATATCATTACATCAACCATTGCACTACAGATATGATCTGCCAAAAATATTGCAACCCTGCTCCTCTTGATGGATCAGCACCTAATTTGGTTGTTGAAGCAGAGACAAAAGATGGGGAAAAATATTTGAAACGAGGATTCAATACTCAAGCATGCAAACAATTGAGTGGGTGGATTGGAGCGTTTGATTCTATCTTGAAAAGGATGACCGTTGACAATTTCAATTGGTTTTTGCATGCAATGTTATTTTATCATACCTGACATGTTCTTGAAAAGATAAAAAAGAGGGAAGAAAAGGAGAAAAGAGGAGATAACAGCAATGGTGATGATAGTG